AATTAAAATCGATTTTTCTCATCAAATTTTAATCGATTATAATCGAAATTAATCAGAATTAATCAAAATTATGTATGAAATTTTGATTTTTTTGATTATTTTTGATTAAAAATCGATTAAAAAGTGTATGATTTTAATCGATTTTTAATAATTTTTTAATCGATTTTAATCTGATTTTACCCCTAATTTTTTTTTACATGGGTAGGATACCTCGACTTCTTTTTTGCTTATATATAAGCAAAAACAAAAGTAGGGGTATCCTATGGTGGAGCACGCCCATATTTCTCTCTTAACATAGTTGTAATCTTTCTTTTATCTATGATATGAATAAAAGAAAAGAGAAAGCTATATCACAGATAATTAATGATTACAAATAAAATAGATATAAGAAAGAAAAAAGAAGATTTATTTTATTTAGTCCAAAGCAAATCCAGAACAATGTGATTCTGTTCCTCCGCCTGCCAACCAACATTCACAACAAATATATAATGGTAAAGGATCTCTTCCTGATGTTGATGATTCTCCTGTTGGAGTTGGTTGAAGCTTTTTACAAAATATACATTGAAAATTTTGTGAATAATCATCTGTACCATGTTTTTGACAAAGACGTGCTTCACGTTTCTCGAGAGGTATTTCAGTCGAAGTCGCTGGAGGAATATGTTTCGAACAAATAATACATGGACTTTTTTGCATCATAAATAGAGCTAATTTCAATTTTTTAGCACATACATTACATGCATAAGCACGTTGATTATCTATAGTATTAACAGAACCAAGTGTGTTTGTACAACGACGGCGCTTTAAAAAAATCAAACAAAAATCAAAAGAAAAATTTCTTAATAAAATAAATATTCTTACACGTAAATAATTTTCTCTATCATGTCGAGCAACAATACGTCCTTCTAGTGAACCTAAATATGTAACAAGCTCTTGGTACATATGTCCTTGCTCATAATGATACAGCACACGAGATGTTGCAATATCTTTCATTGACGAATATTTACGATAAAATTCAGCCATAAATGCATGTAGAGTACGTATTTCATTTGCATCATCTTTCAAGCAACGTTGTCGTAATAATTTTTCAATTGATGAATCACGAAAAATAATATATTGACTTCCTATGATCCAAGTTGTATCAAGAAATATTTTTACATGTCTTCGTAATATTGCCCATATCATTTGATTTACATCTATTCGATTATTTTCATCTATATTTCTATTCAAATAATGTTGAAGTATATTAACCATATCTGATTCTATTAAACCAATATCGGATATAAGTAATAATTTAAAGAACTAAAATTTTTTTCTTTTCATTTTATGTAAAATAAAAGTTTCAATGAAAATTACCGCATCAGTAAGTGGTCGATTGTCAATAATTTCATAAGCTTCATTCAGTAGAAAATTAAGTAAATCATCTAAGGTTGATGGATAAGTTTTGAGACGTTTGGTAACAAGAGAATAATCACCAAATTGCCGAAGATTTTCACAAACATAAGATAAATAAATAGGATGTTCACCACCCTTGTTGTCTATAAGTAGTGATTTTTGTTCTGATTCAAGAATCTATATAAGTAAAAACAAAAACATAACCATTACAGATATATTCAAAATTCTGTATTTCAATACTTGTGCTAAATAATCTGTCTATTTTCTTGTTTTGTTTTTACACTTACTTTATTAAAACTATGAAAAAACATATCAATATATGAACTACGTTGTTCACTTGTTAATAATTTAGGTTCTAGTACATAATGCGAATGATTGCGTATTGTTTGATGTAAATTTGAGTTTAATTCTGTACTAATTATAATATATGTATGATTACTAAGTAATGAGGAAAGCCAAAGGAACGGAAATTCATTCTTATAATTTCGCTTATGATGCAGATCACCCTACAAGAATTTTGATTTGTTTTTTAAAATATTTTATTCACCTTGAATTACTTTTTCCAATCCATCGACAATAATAATAATTGGTATTGGTATAGCAGCAACAGCATCTTCAAGAAATGTATCATCACCAAAGTGAAATCTCTCATTCGTTTTTGGAGATTTTATATTATTATCATCTAAATAGTGAAAAGAACGTTTTTTTTCATTAAAGTTAATTTTCAATTTTTATTTACCAAGATATTTTAAGAGTTTTAATTGTAAATTAGTTAATATGAAATGACTTCCATCTTGATATGTTCCCTCAGCAAAATAACAATAGATAATAGCTTTGTCTTTCATTTTTTCCTATAGTAATATCAATTTCAAAATAAATTTCAACAAATATTTTTTTTAAGAATTTACTTCGATATCTAAGACAAATTTTGCAAGTAACATTGTTTTTCCACCACCTGGTTGACTTGATAAAGCCATTAAAGGTTGACCATTTCGTTTATCTGGTTCAGTTTCTAATTTATCTTTGATTAACATGAAATCCTTATGATCGCCTGTTATATACTTAAAAAGCGTTGAATATTCATCGGATCGATCAATATAATATTGTGTTTTGTTGAGAAGAAATGTATTCATTTCTTTTTCTTCTAGAAATAAAAACGAATTCCTTTTAACATTAATTACATAGAAATCGAACCAATATTAATTGAATTATCTTCATTAAAATTTTCTGGATACCATTTACGAATAGCTTCACTTAAAAAACTTTTTGTTCGTTCTTCGAATTCTTGTAAACCATCAATTTTAACCTAAATAGAAATTTAGCTAAAATACAAATTAATCCAAACTTAATGTGTTTTACTCTTTCACGTCCAGTTGATGAATCTAAGCCATTATAAGAACAATCATAAGAAAATATTTGTTCAGGAGATATAATTTCTGATAATTGACTTTTTAATTCTTTTACTTGTTTTTGACTTAATTCATCTTTATCACGAAATTTATCATTATATTTTTCAGGAAGATTTTTCAAAAGATTTTCGGATTTTCGAATTAGAAAAAATGCATTTGGATTATTTCTACGAAATGCACCATGAATAAATTCCATTAATGTTATTGATGCTCCATCAATCCAACAATATGTTTCAGTTATATGTTTTGGTAAATCATTCAATTTCGGAACCCAACCATATCTAAATCAAATGAAAAACAAAAGCAAACAAATGAGATTTATCTTACTTATCACTAATAAGTCCAATAAAAAATGGTTGACCATTATCTTCTAAACATCGATCGAGTTCTTCAAGACATGCTAATATTGTTTGTTCAGTTGTTGAATCTTTCGGAACCTATAATAT